GATTGTACATAATTTAAAAATGACCTATTAGTCTATCAGGAATAATGGTCTTTACTTGAGCTGTTATAGCCTGAATATGAACTACGGGAGCCCAACTCACCCGTATTAATTCATCCAAATCCCCTTACCTTTCTAGATCCCTCTTCTGAATTTCATGACATTAAAGGTTATGATTTTACTGTATGAATCTGGGAGTTGAACATGAAGATGAAATCTATAATAATTACATATACACTGAGCAGTGTGTTACTTTCCAATATTGTAAGAGAATAGCGAGGTAGCCAAGTTTAAAACACAGGTTTACAGGCTGGGCCTTATGATATACCTTATATACCTTTGATCCTAGCACTTGGGAAGCAAAAGCAGGTGGATTTCTGTGGGTTGAGACCAGCCTGATTTACATAGATAGTAACAGCCAGAGCCACACAAACTGTTTCAAAACAAAACTGCAAACAAACAAACAAACAAACAAACAAACGCAGTAGTGTGTTTACTTTGGTTCATGTGTTTCCAGGATTTGATTGAAGACTGGTTGGCATCATCGCTTTTGAGCTGTGTGTGTGTTAGGTGTGTGACTCATCGAGAGTACGTGGAGAAACTGAAAGTCTCTCACCAATGGGAAAAAAAGGAGGAAGGAAGAGATCATGGTCTCACAGTCCCCTTGGAGGGCATGTGTCCAGTGACCTAAAACCTCCCACCGCAAAGCTTTTACCACAGCCTAACAATGACAAGCTGGAACCACGCCTTTGAACTAAAAGCCTTTGCAGCACATTCCAGATCCAAGCTGTAAACTCACTTGTTTCCATTTTGGAAGTTTATCTACAAGAAGAAAAGCAGCCACACGCTCGGGTAGAAGTGTGATGGCACGTACTGCAGAAGTATTGTCACAAGGAGCACAGGAGACGACCTTAATGTTCACACATGAGCCAAGGAAAGTACATTCCACATTGAGACATAATATGAAGCCACTGACCATGGTGAATTAGAGGCAGGTGCACCATGACATAGTAAATCTTCTCTTGTTGTTTGTGTTTTGAGATGGGGTTTCTCTGCATAGCGCGGACTATCCTGGAGCTCACCAGGTTAGCCTCGAACTCAGAGATCCACCTGCCTCTGCCTCCTGAATGCTGGTGTGCCCCACCACCGCCCAGCGACACCGTACATCTTAAAAGAACATCAAAGTAACATATAATATGCAATACTATTTCTGTACAAGATAAAAGACAGCGTCTTTGTGTGTTTGCATGAATCTGGGGAGAAAAATGTCAGAATTTTTTTCAGTAATCTGCTTACCATTTTCAGGGAGAGGGTGTTGGGGCAGGGGCAAAAACAGGACAGAAAATGTTCAGCGCATCCTGAGGGCCAGCATCCATACTGTCATTTCACTGCGACCTCAGTCACGCTAAGCGAGCAAACAAATCTTCCTTCTGTAAGACACTCTATTCAAGCCTCCCTGTTGCCTTCATCTTTGTCTTTTCCTACATGAAGGTGACAAAATGCTCCCAAAGGAAAGCTGTGTGTGTGTGGTGTGTGCGTGCGTGTTCTGTGTGTGTGTGTCCATCTCTGGTGAGGCACAGGGAGGACGGAATGGGTTGCCAGTGTTTAGGAGGACGGCTGAGCTGTCTCTCAAACCATCGCTGAGCAGCGTGCTGCAGAGATGGAGCAGCTCCGGGGGAGGGGCGTCTCACAGAGGCCCTCAGGCCCCACTTAGCCTGGCAGCGTTTCTTGGGGAATATTGATCAAAAATGCTCACCTCTATCATCCGAGGCGCATAATGCAGTCTGTGAGTATTCATGGAAAAAAGCTTTTCTTGGCCAGGCTATTTTCTGAAGTCAAAAAGATCCTTTCAGGATCCGTAATAGCCATCCCTCCACACTTCACACCCTCAGTGAAAAGCACACTCCAATTTTCAGACCCTAGGACCCCACGCCAAGGAGGAGGAGGACGAGCGGGACCTATTCATGTAAAATAGTCCATCAAACTCAATGAGCATTTTGCCACAGGGGAAGAGAGGATACATAAATGTTAAGATTAAAAATTCCACCTGGACACACAGGAAAAGGCGCCCTTGTTCCTGAGATCATTTAATGCATCTCTTCTTTCTCTCTCAAATGTCCTAAATGGAATATTCAACCATATACATAATGCAGCCTGCTATGCAAGGCAGCGCATTGCTGTGATATTAAACCTGTGTTTTCATATCTGACAAGGACTTCCTAGTTTTTCTGACTTTAGTTATGTAAAAAGGCAGAATTGTTTACATTATTTTTTAATTTACCTATTTATCTATCTGTGTGTGTGCCTATGTGTATGTAAAACTAACAACAAAAAAGTGATGCAATTTGAGCATGTTCTCTTCCGTGACACTTTAGCAGATGTGTCACTTCCCATGATTCCATGCGGGGGTAGTTACTTTGTGGTAGCTGCTGGTCAGCCACTTTGGAGCACATGTGAAAGACAGCACCTTTGGGCAGGGGAAGTGTGCCATAAACACAGGACCTTGCCTTCCTCGGCTGGGCTATCATCCATGCTGGAGAGACCCTACAGCAGACAGCACGTGGAAAGCCTGAGCAACTCTTGCCAGCAGTCCCTGGGGTGTTCAAGGACTTTGCTGTGTCTTTACCATGGTTTTCTGGAATTCTTAGCCCTAACTGCTCTTACGAGGCAATCACAACTTTGATCAAGAGCTAAACACTACATGGCTCTTTTGACTCTGGAAGGTGGGAATGAACTTCAAGGGTGTGGACACTGCACCAGGCTCACCTCGGTGCCCTTCTTTTTTTTCAAAGTCTTTGTTGTTGTTGTTGTCATTGTTAAAGACCTGTGTGATCTGTCTTTCCAGGAATGTGCTATCTGGTGGTTTTTTTTTAAATTCCCAGTAGGGGTTAGTTCCAAGTGATCTTTTTGTAGATGATAAAGAGAGGACGGATTTCTGGCAAACCAGATCCTCGCAGTGCCAAAACCTTGCTGTGTTCAGCCTGTCTCCTAGGACAGTAACTCAAGAGTCTCAGATGTGGACTTAGGAGTTTAGAGGTGGCTAAACTCCAGTGGGCACATGAAAGCTACAGTGTCCAAGAAACAGTCCGGGCACTGTTAGGGACAGGTATTGGTGCTGAATGGAGCACTAAGACCAGGAAACCTGGAGACTCAGCTATTGGCTGGAACCACAGCCAAGCTGCTGGAGAGCCAGTGAGGCCCTTTTTTTTTTTTTTTTTTTTTTTTTCTACAGCGGAAGTGGATGGAGGACAGGGATGACGTAGAGCAGGGTGTTGAGGAACCACACATGCAGCAAAGTTTACTTTGTGATCTTTTCTCACAACCTCCATGGGTTTTGCTTGCGTATTTGAAAATGAAATGCAATTAAAGCCACATCCATTCACAGAAAGAAGAGCAAACAAGAATAGTCCTCCTTGATATGTTTCCATCAAGTGGCCTTAGATGGCACACAGAGCCACATCATGGATGTGTGTACAGAAGTGAAGATTGTAAATGTGGTATCTGCTCACTAGGAGATATTCTATTGGAAGAAACAAGCATCTTCCTTGGAATACAAACAAAACAAAACAAGCCCCTCCCTCCCCCATGACTGCATTCTTTTAATAATGGTCCTTTTCATTGGAAGCTGGACTCCCTGGCATGGTCTGGGACTCCATGAGGGTGCTGATGAGGGTTTTTGATGACTCAATCTCTTTCAGGAAGCATGGTGCCTAGAATCAAGCCCTATCCATCTTTTTGCTATGAGAAAGTAACCTTTATGAGACAACAGTGACACAGCCTTGCACTTCAAGTGTCATTTCCATATCCGAGAGGCGTCCCGTATCTGAGAGGTACCCCAACGTGACCCCAGAGGAAAGCTCCCAGTGAAGCCTGGAAGGCCATCTGCCCAGCTGAATGGTTAACAAGAGGGAGGAACACAGCTCCACGGGGCAGCTGTAGAGCAGTGGGCCACCAGCTCCGCAGACAGGGGGGGCTGCCAAGAACACCATCGGCAAGGTTCCTCTAGCTCCCCAGCTGCTCCCCAGGCACCCATCACCTCCTGGATACTATAAGGGATAGAGATGCTTTAGCTCTACCCTGGGAGAAAATGAGGCAGGAATCCAATTCCTCCTTAGCAGCACCTAAAGGAAACAGAAGGCCGAGAAGTACCGCTGTTAACTCAGAGTTTGAGTTGTTACTACAGGGAACACTATACATAAGCTCTTGATTATCAGTTAAAAGCTAAAAAGAAGCCAGGTCAATTCAGGCTCCACCTCCCACTTCATTTCCCAGCATACACCAGGATGACCCTGTCTCCAGAAGCCAACATGTTCTGCAAGGAGAGGGTACTCAGCAAACATTTGCTAAAGGAACAAGTGAATGACGTTTACAAACCTGGTTGTTTGGCATCCTGAGAATTCATTGCCCAGTATGCTCTCAGAGACCATGGGTTAGGCTGCAGTGTAACTGCTAGAGTCCCAAGGCAGCAAATATTAATCCCTGGCTTCAGCCACAGTAGAAGGAGGCCAAATTACATGTTGTCTGTCACCTAGTAACAAAGTCCTCAAATATACCTTACTTACTTCTTAGGGGCAGGGACTCTAGCTAACACAGGTGGATGCCTAGGAAAGATAAAGCAGGAGGCAAAGGTCACTGTGAGGCTTAATACCACTTGCAGAAACAGACCATACTGGCCCACTCTGCCATCACGGAGAGGGATGGGTGTGAGTGAGGATAGACAGAGGACAGGGCTGGCGTTCCCAGCTGCAGATCAGGGTCTTGAGGAACCACATATGCAGCCAAGTTGACTTCATGGTCATCAGAGGCTGCAGCTCCTCCGATGGCTGCACACTAACATTCCATAATATGAACCATGAGGCAGATTCTCCGTGAGTACGTGTAAGCTTTCTGAATGGTATCAGCTACCATATTGGACACCTTTGCCGGCTCTGGTTTACACAATGCTTTTGAATAACTCTGTTCAATAAAAAAAAAATACAAATCAACTTTTTGTTAGATGGTGGAATAAACTTTTATTTTCCTACAAATTATGAGAATGTCAGAAACACATAAAGCCTAGATGCTGTGTTTCTAATTCATGAAATCATCACAGTAAATCAGACAGAAAAAGGGTGAGCTAGAGTTGAGTGGCACCATTATGGAGCTAAGCGTATTCCCAGCTTGGCTGCCTTTGTGGAGTGTGTCCTAGTGCACACAAACACTCCTGCCAGGGCGGGGCAGTTTGAGCCCCTGCCCCTACCTCAGAACACCTAGATGTGCAGCATTGGGAAGTTAAATAACAAGAAACCTCAAAACAATCAAATGACATGCTATAACTTAGTTTATCATCTCTATCAAATTTCCCCCTATTTACACGTACTAAACACTGTAGACCTGAAACGAAGGAGACGCTTGGCTAATGTGTACATCATATACATAGAAACTAGGTGCAAATACAAGGCTGGGTGTTTCTTGAAGAGTTTCCCTTAAATGTGACACCCCCTTCAGTAGGTAGGGAGGGACACGGCTACACGTGAGACACGCAGAGAGGTTTAGAGGGCTCATCACACCTCCACCACGGGTCTGTGGAGAGAAGGGAGGGACACCTGAGGACAGTTAGGAAGACAGGGTTTGCATGGCTCTCTGGAGCTGTGATCTCCTTTGTAAGGCTACGGGTCCCACTGATCAGCCATAACGCAGTCAGAGTCCACCCTGGGGCTCGCAGAGCTGCAAGCTTGGCTGCAGAAGACCCTTTCGAAGTCACTCACCAGGATACATTTCTTCAGCCTGATGAAGGTCTGGCTATTTTTAAAAAGTTGTAATTTTGTGGGATTACTATTTTTTAATAGCATAAAAGTCTAACCAAAAAGACTATAAACATCAGTTTTCCTCATTATGGACACCCGGAAATCAGCATGCAGAAAAGTAAGGGTGCTGGCCAGGCCCTTCGGGAGCTCAGGGAGTCTGATCACACTCTGGGGTAATTAGGGACACTTTTATTACAGATGGTTGACCTACTAATACTAATGTGATGAGTGGCTCTCTGGAGGGCCTCGGCCGGATGAGTGACCCTTAGCAATTTTGCTAAAAGACATTTATTATGAAAACATAATATTTGCCTTTCTGACTGGAAAAAAAGAAAAAAAAACAAACACCAAACTTGATCATTTCAATTTTCCACCCCAAATAACAAGAACTGCTAAATCCAACTGAACATGGTTACCAGTCTCCATGTCCCCAACTCTGTGTCTCTAACCAGAGCTATTACCAAGCCAAGACTCAAGCAGGCATGCACGTGTGCGTGCACACACACACAGAGTGGGTGCGGCAAGACTGCGGCAAGACTCCAAGTATCACCGACACAATGGGTGATGTTATTACATCTCATTTTCCTTCTAGCACCATTAAGCTTACGTGAACATCCTGGGCCCTTAGAAAACAGCATACAGGGGTTAGAGGCTTTCTTCTGCTTTGCATAGTCCTGTTCTATCTAGGATCTTTAAGCAGCTCTCCAGGTGGTCCTGTCTGTGGGCTGGGGATGGAAGGCTGCTGAACTCCCTCCAGAGCAGGAAGACAGACTCTCCCTGCAGTTGGAAGGTGCTTCTAGAATGTGCTCTCAGAGTTCCCACTCACTGCAAAAATGAGTCTAGCTTCTGATCTGCCCCTTTCTCTGCCAAGGTCAGCAGCAGAAAAATCAACTGTTTAGCAGATGTGAAAGCTGGCTCTTCTGGGAGAATGGACACTGATGCGACAGACAAGCATGCTAGGAATAATGTGAGGACGGAGAGCAGAGGAAGGGAGAGAGGTGGCCACACAGAGGACCGCCTGAGTCTCTTGAGCCTGTCCTCTGCAGCTGCTTTCCTGCGCTGACTGATGGTCACCCTGGACATGCACACTGGGAAATGGTCTCATGTAGCCGAACCACGCAGCCAGGAGTGGCCTCTGCTGCACTTTCTGTTTCTCTCTGAGGCAGAGCATGGAATGGAGCAACTGGAGCTCTGCATGTCAGGGCCAGGGCACAGGCTGTGTGTGTGTTGGGGGAGGGGTGATGGGACAGAGGTCTTCCCTGTGAACTCACTGTTAGTTGCCAGATTCTAAGGTCCAAGATGTCCAGCAAGGTGCACACTCAACTCCTTCCCACCCTCCCACCTCTAATAGGCACAATACTCCTTCCTTGGAGCCAGGTAGGCTAATACGCATGCATGCACAAAGACATCAAATCTAATTGCTTGGAATCTGTTACCCTAACACTCAGGTGACAAGAACTGTTTCTGAGACCTATCTTGGTCTCTGAACAACAGGCAGGAAGAAGGCTGCAGGCGAGCTTTCAGGGGCACTGCACAGGGTGGGGGTGTTGCTCAGCCCTGGAGCTGGAGCAGGCACTAATTATGTGTGTTGGTGCGGTGGTGCCCGGCTGGGCTGAGCTGAGCAGGGACGCTATGCACTGCTTAGTGCTATCATGTTGACAGCCCTGTATTTCTAGACACTCCTGATCACTCTATGTGGGACCGTTACTCAGGACTGGGCAGGACTCCTTGTTGTCAGGAGAACCTTAGTCAGGGAGCCTCAGGTACCAGGTGGAGAAAGACTCAGAGATGGAGGTAAAACTTCCTGTGGGACAAGAACCTGGGGACAGCCAGTTTCCATGATGATGAAATTTTTAAGAAAACTGCAAATCCTAACACAAGGATTAGCAAAACCAGTATGGACAAAATTCCTTCAATGATTACACAATTGTTTTGTAAGCCCTTTTGGGAATCAAGCTTGGCTCTATAAATGCAAGGAAAATAACTCAGGGATACAGACAAGGGCCTTTTGCATCTTCCCTGTGGGCCCCAACCCTTTTTGCTACTGTGTTCTGCCTTAAGACTGGGCTTCTCCATTGCCCATGACAGCAGGTTTGTTCCTGATTGGTGGTTAACTTTTTCTTCTCTTCTCCTGAAGCCCAAGGTTTGGTGAGATTCCAGGACAAGAGGGACAAGGCCTTGTTTGAAGGTTCCACACACACTAGATCACCTCTGACCTCAGGGGTACAACAATGGGAAGGCTTGTTGCATGTGGCGGCACAGTGGCAGTTTCCTGGAGTCTGGATTTGAGGGTTCTGGGGAAATCAGGGGAGTCTTGCTGTCTCTTCCACATGAAGGATAAGGATTTTCTTGGGGTCCATTCTCAAGCTGGAGGTCAAGACCCCTGAAACGGAAGCAGAGAATGGCCATGTCACGAAGGCCACATACTGAAGGAAGTATGTGCAGTGCTTAGAAGTCAGAGACCTTGGTCTTTGGTAAATGGGTTTGAAGTCCTCCCTGCCCCAGAGTGTGTTGTACAAGGGTGTCTGCTGAATGCACCAACAAAGGCATGTCACTCCTTTTAGTCTGTGCCCTGAGTTCTTCTACCACAGAAAAGAAACTGCAAATCTGTGACACTCTGCAATAAGATCAGCCTTTCTGGCGAGCACAGAAGTAAAGACTGAAGAGAAAGGCATCAGACTGCAGCACAATGGAGTGGAAGCCATGAAGGAGCTATGGCCAGAGTCAATGGCAACGTTGTTACTGGGATCCTAGCATGTTTACATGTTGATATTTCACGTGAGTTACTACTCAGTTATTCCCCAAAGGGCGTAAGACTAGAGGTCATGCCTAAATTGCTTGTCTGAATGAGTCCAGATGAGCATGCAGCTATTTAGCACTAGAGGGAACAGGAATAAAATTAAAACTCGCAGCTCTGCACTCTTCCCTTCCCCAGGGTGGCTGTCCGGAAGCTCAGAGGAATACAAGAATGCCTACTGCAACACTCAGCCACTGTTGCAGCGTCAGCTGGCCTCCCGGAGGGCCACTCTGCGAAGGAGAGGATCATTTCATCACCCTTCCCCTTGTAATATATTTTTAAATGCTCTAAGCTTCCCTTAGTGGCCTGTGCGTAGGACAAATCTCAAAAGCTGGACTCTAGAGCCTTCTCCCAATAGGCTCCTTCTCTAGAACTACAGCCTTTGAAATTATCATTACTGGTGTTCGAAATTAATTTATTTAGGTTATTTTGTTTACATCTTTTCATTTCTGTGTTTGTTTATATATCTTCGGACCTTGCCTTACCCTTTCTGGGGAAGAGCTGCTGAAATCAATACTTACAAGTTCCCTTGACCTGGGGGGACACTCTGACCCCTGCACTCTATGGTTTTTCACTTTCAGATTCCAATGGACAGGCTTTCCCTTTCCACCCTTTCCAGGCTCAGTGAGGCTGGCAGAGAGAGAGAGAGGTCCTGGGCCCTTCTATTGTTTCCCTCTTCAGAAACAGGCTGCTAAGGGCTGGGTAATAAGCTCAGTGGTCCAGCACTCCCTGAGCGTGCATGCGGCCCCGCATCCGAGCAGTACAAAAATACAAAACCCAGGTTGCTTTAACCACCGGCAGCACAGCCAGACACCGCCACCCAAAGATCAGTGTTGTATTTGTTTGGCCGACATATATGTCTACCTGCTACTTGGTGTCCACAGTTAGATAGTTGTGAGCTGCCATGTTGAACACTGGTCTTCTAGAAGAGCAGCCAATGCTCTTAGCTGCCAAGCATCTCTCTAGCCTCCACTCACCCTAAGGATCAGGTTTTTTAGGCCATCTCTCCATCTCCTAGTTGTTGGGAGTAGGCAGGAACATTTGAAAAGGGGCAAAGGGCAGCTGGGGAAGCAAACCTGACTCAACCTCAGAGAGAATTCTGGTTTGAAATGCCACGCATTCTGATCAGATTAGTTGAGATTAAGAAGCCAAAAAAACAAAAACAAAACAAAAACAAAAGAAACAAGTCAATGAATGCTTAAAGATACTAGGCAAAGGAATGAAGCTTTGCTAATGTTTGGTTGGAAGGCAAACATTTTAGCTATACGCTGGTCTCTTTTACTAGGGAAGAAAGGAGGTGAGTGAGTCACAGCTTGAGTTCCTGCAGGTGGACAGAGTAGTGCCAGCTGCCCCACTGAGTAAACCTGAGCCAGCATTTCCGAGCTCTGTAGGCAAGGGGCCTGTGCTCCTAAAGGCAGGGACCTACCGGCCAAAGGCAAAGAGCAAAGCCATACCAGGGTCCAGTGCACCCATGACTCAGGCACTCCTTCAGTCCTTGACTTTTTGGTGGCACACCTGTACCCTGCAATGGTGCCCTGTGTTCACTGTGCCCCATGATGGGTGGGCAGGCAGTGGCTGCAGAGTGCATAGGTGTGGCACAATGAATAAGGGCTGCCTACTTGATACAGAGACCATAATTGCAAACTGCTGCCAGTGGCTGAGGCCTAGTCAAAGGACATTTTCCTCTGGTAGAGGGGCCTATAAATACAAATCTTTGCCCTGAAACTCCTACTGGGAAGAGATTTATAGTCCTGTTTTACCCTTTGTGGGTTGATATAAGTTAGTTCAGTTTGGGACACTACTGGGACCAGTCCAAAGCCATGGCCAAGAAGAAGAGAAGGGTTAATGGACTGATCTGCCACCTGCGTATCTAGCTGGCAAGTACGGCAGCCTGCTAGGTTAGGGAGGTGTTCTGGGTAAGCCACTTCTCTTTGTGTTGGGACTACCATAGGAACGTGCCTAATAAATGACAGCTTTCTTTTTTGAGTGGATTTAGCGTAGCCACTATCCAAGCCTCTCCAGCCTGTGAACCAGGATCGATGCTGGAGAGCCAGTTACCCAGTCCTGCAGTGGTGGCTGCCATTCTTCTGAGCTGTCTGTGCTAGGCCAGGATTCCAGACCCAGGACAGAAAGGTCAGGTCGGGAGGCCACAGCTGCCATCTCAGCTTGTTCTCTGTATCCTAGCCTGTGGATCCAGGGGTTTGGCGCCCTCTGCACTTTTGTCTGCTTTTGTCTGCTTTTCTTCCTCCAGCTGCTCTATTCAGCAGTCCTCCTTGCCGACCTGCCTCCCTGTGTGGAGGCCTTTAGAGGCCTCTGCTAAGCAAGTGGTCAAAGGCCAGGCCAGCACGCGCCTCTTCGTATCAGCCCATCTTAACACCATGTTTCTCCAGGCTTGGCCAACAAAAAAAAAAAGGGGGGGGGATGGGAGCCGGCTCTGTGCCCATGACTCCCCGTAGCCCCTACACAAAGGGGAGGCGACAAAGACATTCTCCATGATGGCAGGTGTTGGTGTCAGGTTCCACCCAGAGTGTACCCACAGAAGAAAAGGCAGGCAGAGCTGGGCTCCACAGGCAGCACAGACATGTAGGGGCAAGATGGTGGGCAGGGCCCCTTGGGAAAAGACAGGAGGAGGCTAAGCTGAGGCTCAGAAGGGGATGGCGTGTAAAGTGTTAGTCAGCTGACACTCCTCTTGAAAAGCAGGGCATGGCAGGGTGAGGGCCCACCAAAGTGTTAAGTCTTACCTTGCTCAGGCAGCATAATGATGCCATTACACATTTTAATCTGGAGGGAGAAAAGATAAGACTCCAGTGAATGGGGAGATGCGGCGCCACAGCTGCGGCCTGATAGCAACACGCACAGCTGATAACACATGGAACCCGCGGCTGTCCTAAAGCCTCGAGCATCACTCCTGGAAGTTCACCTGAATACTCACCTGATGGGACCAAGTGCTAGTCGGTGCCGGGTTTACAAGTGAGTTGAAGCATACAGACCTGAGAGAAGACCTCAGCTTCCCACTCCTCCACACCATCTTACTCCTTACACTTTCCACAGTTTTTGCTTTCAGAAAGCAGTTTTCTACCTCACTTCTTCCCTCCCCAACTCTCCTGAATTCCATATAGCTAGGCTCCTATCAGGTCTGGACACTATTAGCATCACAAAACACTGTACACACTGCCACAGTTAGAACTGCAGACTTCCTGATCTCACCTGCCATGGTTGGGTATTCTTCCTGCTGTGTCTCTCTGAAGTGTGTGCACTTCTATGAGCCTGTATTTTCCAGTCTATTGATGAAAACTCAGACCCTCATAGTGTACTTGAGGTGGGAAGCTGGGATCTATAACCAGCCCTGGGTGACCACATGGCACGTCCTTGTTCTATGAACGTGGCTCCTTCTCCATGTGAAGTCATGAGAAGCTCTGGGCTGACTGTGGGTAACAGACCCAATGGGTCCTTAGATGATAGCAAACAGAGAACGCCTCTGTGTGCAGGGGTCTACCTTGAGTGGAAGAGCCTCAGGTTTTCAGAGTGCCATGCCCCTGGTGCTCTCGCATGTAAGGAAGGGCTCTTTATGAAGGAGCTCCTTCATCTCACTCTCCTGCATTCCCCTTGGCCCTGGTTATGCTATGCACACAGGCTCTTGATTGGTGGAAACCCAGAAAGCAGATGGCGTGCTAACAATGGAGGGCTTGTTTGTAATTGCTGATGAGGACTGGTTTGCTCCTCTCCAGAGGGTCCCCAGACACAGCCTGGTGTGGTGTGCCGGCCCACAAAGACTATCTCAGCAACTGCCAATCCATGGTTGAGTTAAGGAGATGCATAGGAGGAGACAGTTGGAGGCTGCCTTGATTATTCCATAGGGCTCAGATGTCACCTGCTCTTGACATGCAAGCAGTATTCTTGAAGGGTGAGCTCCCAGTTGCTGAGACCAGGGAATAGGCTATATCTTCTTATTATAATCCCAGGGGTTGGCACATACACTATTGGAAAAGACTAGAAGGGAGCACTGTGCTTGGCTATGAGGAATGAGAAGAGACTGGGAGGATAAAGTATGATTTTCCACCATCTTTCTTTTCATCAATTGGAAACCAGATATGTTCTGAGTACCATTACAGGCTGTCACAGATGGTGGGGGAGGTAGAGCAGGCAAATAAACAGACTCATATTCCTGCGGTGTCCTAAGGCAGAGGACAAGTTAGGAAACAAGTCTTGAGAGACTCCATAGTGACTTGAGAGACACTGTACTACCGGGTCACAGTGTGTCTTGAATAAGAAGGCATGTGTTAGGTATCAGTGGTACTGGGATATCATCAACCAGTTCCTTTCCATGTGGGAGCACCTGGAAAGACTTCTGGATTGAGCCCTTCATAGTCTACCTTAGACACCAGCCGACCTGGCTGTAGCCCAGTTGGAAGCTCATATGGCAAGAGTTTGAGCCTGGAGAATCCAGGCCATTTTTAGAGAAGTGTTTTACCTTTTGGTGTTGTGTGACTTCTTTGATATTTTGGATACCAACGAGGATTTTCTTTTTTAATTCAGGAAATGAGAAATATGTTTAGAGAGATGTATTCTGCCTAGAGAATCTGTAC